CTTCTTTTTCTTTGAATTCAAAGCTCCTTAATTCTCTCTATCGACTTTTAAATACGATGGATTTATTCCTTAATCAATTCTCCATTAATAAAAAAAAATTAATTGAAATATATATTTTGTGCAAGTTACGGTAACAAATATAAAGTCCCAAGGACCCGAGTGTGCATATCAAGAATAAAATATTGTATAGCTACGGTTAAGTTTACTTCTCAGTACCGAAGTACCTATAATTTGTTAAACATTAAATCTGTTCGCGTTATTTGAAATCCCCAAAAATGTTTGCACTTAAAATGAAATAAATATATAAATTTGAATATTAAAAAGAGAGAAAGCAAAGATACTAAGTGTAAGAAGTACAAATAGCACGAACAGACCCATTTTTTCAAATAGCTAGAAATTTTTTGATTAAATTTTAGTGAATGTGCTATCGATGAAAGAAATAAGTATCCGAAATAAGTATCTATTATTAATTTTATAAATTTACTTATCATGCTATTAAAATAAAAATATAAGAAAGCCAATATGACAACAATTTCTTAACATAACGGAAGCTAATGTATCTTCTAGTGTTAAAATCAACGTGTCACTCGCGATTATTAGCATTCGCAAACCATATAGCACTCACCGCTTGTGGGATCGATGTTTAGCATAAAGATAAATCGTTCTTGGCTGTCCTCGAAGACAGGAACGGCAGTCCAGAAGCGTCGTAGCCGAAGGGTTTTGTTAACGAAACATCATCTTAATTCCTCACGTAATCGGTAGCATAATCATCTAATCATAAAGTTGTTTTACAATCAACATCTGTCACGACGGCCTGTACATGATTTGAGAGCCTACACTGAGAGAAAAATGTACCAAATTTTAATAAATACTTATTCGAATAGTGCCAATTAAACATTTACTAAATATAAATATATATTTATTTGGTACAAAAACTATTAATTTGATATTATCTATTATTATATTTTATTTAACAAATATTTATTTTCCGTAAATAAATGTTGTATTAGTACTATTCAAACAATTATTTATTAAAATTTAGTATGTTTTTCTCTCAGTGTATATTTTACAAACTATTATTTTACTTTTTTCATGTACGTATATTTTCAGTTGACTAATGTGTATATATGTACTTTGAGTTTTTCCAATGAGAGACATTTGTGTATCAAATACTTATGTCCGAATACCCCCAGACGAGTACTAGGGGGCCTCGTCCACGGTGTAATATTTCTGTTCAACGTAGTACCAGCTAATATATTAAATGTCATGTAGAATAGTTTGAATTATAATTTGCCAGATTAGCTTGCTGTATTGAATTTAGATCCATATTTAGCGATTAATATTAATGTAGTATCTTAATGTGTTTATATGGTATTATTTATAAATGACTAACTGCCATCAGAGTAGTTGAAACATTACACCGCATACGAGGACGTGTAAAAACCTGAGTTTTTTAATGTTTGAACATTGTATAAAAGTTCTATGAAATCGTTCTGCTAAATTTTCTGAAGATTTCTACAGGAGAATGTACAATATAACGCATGTATAATTTAAAGATTGAAGCATGTGGCAAATGTCAAATTTTCGATTTCTAAAAATCTCGCATCTTAATGTCGCATATCATTTTAGTTTGTATACTTCCTCCAGTAGAAATCTCAAAATAAGATCTTATGGAAAAATAATACGTATAAATCAAGAATCGAGCTTATTTCAACGTCTCGTATTGCGACAATAATTTGTGTGATTTCTCAAATATTATTTAAATATTTTTCCATAAGTGCACGTGATTGTCGTTCCATCTTTTTATATTTGATCAGCACATTCTTCTTTTTGCAGCTCACGCTTACTGATGACTGCCTGGTGCCACACGGAAAGCGTGAAACAAAAAAAAACGACGAAAAAAGAACAAAATAGTACCTGAAAAAGGTCAACTAAAAAAAGGTCAACCAAAAAAAGAAAGAAAAATTACATCATGTCCCGAAAGAATTTTGATGTCTTTATCATAGTGCATAAAATTTTCACAAAATTTTATTTATTAACTTTTCCCACATCATATGATTTATTGTTACCTTTCATCCATAATCTGAAATAAAATAAACACTGCCAAAATTTTATTACAGAACAGTCAGTTTACCCAATCTTATTTTCCTTCCTAATTATAAAACTATGACAATCAATAATTCATTATTAATTTCAACAAGTTAAAATAACTATAAAATATATACTCAATTTAATAACAATTTGAAAATATATTTCGGTCGATTATTTCTAAATTAGTAATGTAATATCTGTGTAAAAATGAAATAAATTCTTAGATCTTTAATAATTTTGGCATCAAAAAGTTTAACATCTCCTTAGAAAAATATATATATACATCAAGAAAAAACATTAATTATTATCAAGAAAAAAAAAAAAAAAT